TCCATCCTCCTGGTCCTGTTGATCCATCCTCCTGGTCCTGTTGATCCTGGATCATCAGATCCTGACATGTCCCCGTCCTCTGAGGACACATTTTCATCTGTCCCTCATCTCACTCGCCTCATTTCTGTTTCTTCCTCAGTCTCTGAAATTACAACGTCACTGTTAGAATGAAGATTATTGTTCAATAAAAATATGACATGAATTATTTAACACTGTTCGTACCAAAGTTTAATTTAGAACAACATGTGTGATCACTGGTCAGATCACTGGTCAGGTCACTGGTCAGATCACTGGTCAGGTCACTGGTCAGATCACTGGTCAGATCACTGGTCAGTGGAAGTTCTGCTGTTCTTCTCATCTGGTTCTGGTCCATGAACAACTGGTTGAACCTCCTTCAGTCTCACTCGTCCTCACTGTGTCTCTGTGAACTGTCCTCTCTCTAAATGTGTCTGTAGAGTGACATCAGTTTATTTTCTTGCACGTTTCTTTGACAGTTCAACATTTTGAGCCCTGATTGAAAATGTTTGTGCAGATTAAATTTACAGCTCTCACTTTGTGTTGTTGTGATGATGATGATGATGATGATGGTGCTCCTGCTGACTTGAGATGATGTCATTAATAAACAGTATAAATGTCAGTAAAAGTACTTTATTAAAGCTTGCTTTACATTTTACATATTTTATAATAAATTGTTTGGAAATTTATTTTTGCACAGTTAACACTTATTTTGTCATCTGTTATGATTTTAACTAGAAACAGTTTCATTTAAATTAACATTTTAATCAATGAATTACAATTTTACAATAGTTGTCAGGCTACAATCAACTCAGTTATCAGGTACTTGGTGCCATAAAAAAATGACAAATAGAACAATTATATTCAGTCTCTCTTGTAAATGAGTCCTCGTGGCTCAATGGGACGAACCTGTTTAAATAAAGGTTGAATTAATATCTTCTATAGAAATCAAGAATTCATCCAGATGTTCTGAGGTAAACTGGAGCAGATCTGAACTGCTGGAGGACAAGGTGGA